AGGAGACAAGTAGTACAGTTTTCCTACCTCAACAGCTCATGTCTCAGGATTAATTATTGTCTCTCCCCATCAGTTTTCCATGGAGTCGGGTGCAAGAACAATTTCATGTTTTCCCCTCTCCCAGTGTGCCCCCCCATACCTGCAGAGGCGTCCCTTTGAGGTCTTAGGCAGAAGGATGTTGCTACAGCGGCAGGGCCGACGGGGGTGCGGGACCGGTACAAATTACCGGGGCCCAGCGGTCCGGAAGGGGGACCAGGGCCCGACTTCTCCCCCTCTCATCGGCCCTGTTTAGCCAGTCTGCCCTTGCTGGAGGGCCCAAACCTGCTCTCAGCAGCCCTGTACAGCGGTAACAGACCCTCAGCCCAGCAGTAGGGGCTGGAACCATCAGAGCAAACTTTCCATGCCCCTACTGTTAGCCAGTCTATTTGGCCCATATCAGCCTAAACCATTACTCATCTCCTGTATTCTGCTTCCTGCTCCACAACACTTAAAGTGAACATTGCTTTTTCAGTAATGTGAAGCTATTCCATATTGTTAGAAATCATCACATTGAGAGAAAGTGTTATTTCTGTATTTTAGTAGCAATTTATAGAAAAAGGGACGTATTCTATCATCAGTGTTGTGCCCATGACATGTGTTCCAAACAAATAATAAACCATGCTATTAGTAGGCATGTCCTGATGTTTCCCTAAAAAAACAAAAAAAACAAAAAAACCAACACACACACCACTTTTCAATTTCCGTACAGCAATATATTGTAAATGAACCAACAGCATAATTATGAGTATTAGAGTAGGCCATTTTTAGTTTAAGGACACTCATTTTCTCTGTCTGCCTTTTCAGAGAGACAATGTTGCATAGAAATCAAAAATTGATAAGTTTCTTTTACATACATAAAAAGTTAGAGTAATTTATAATATGGCCAATCTTTATATTTAATTTACAAAATCTTCACCCCAAGTTTACCTGGCCCTATTATTTTTAATCTAGCAGTCCATGAACGTATGAAAAAATGTTTTTAGAATTATGTAGTATTTTGGATATACTTCCATCTACTAACTCCTCTCCATCCATCCCCGCAACTCATTTTAATGATGTTTATTGACACTAAACCCACTGGATTCTGTATATAAAAACATACATTTAGGTCCAAGATAATCAAGTGTCCATGTTTTCTCTGTTGGGTTTGAATGAATGTTAGCACGTTCAAGGGACCTAATCACTAAAAGCTTGCCAGCCACAAGGTCAGTTCACTACAACTCCATCACAGTCTCTTTCTGTCTTTCTGTGCACAAACAATTACAAGCTACATTTAAAAAGATAAGCATAACTAGACAGAGCTGTCGTGGTTGACACACTTGAGCCTAATTATAAATGGCACCATTTACCTGTGCAAACAAGCAAATATTTGCCCTTCTATTTGCCAGAGTCTAAATCTCTGGTGAACACCTAGTTTCAGTTTTATACCTCCACTTTACAGATGACAAAATTTGCTCTACAATCAACCCCCTTTGGTTTCAACTTATCAGAAATGTTACAATGGTTCCAAGAAGCAGGCGGCTTGTTCTTTGTATTTTTCTACTCCAATATATTCTTAAGCCTATTGTAATGGTTTCTGGCATCTGCTATCTTGCTAATATGAAAAGTAAGGACAAATGAAGAAAAAATGTGTTTATATTTCATTATGATGAGGCAGAGCCCCATCTGCCTTGCTTGCTGTGTTAACAATTTGTTTATCTATTTAGCAATATTACAAACATTTCTAAGCAGAACTCAAGATACATATTTTACTGTTTCATTTAAAACATTCAAGCTTGAGCTGTGGTTCAACACTTAAATGTTAAAAAAAATTGGAAACGGACAAAAATACATTTGAAGATTAAGCAAAAAAAAAATCCAATAATCTTAATAAAAAGTCTTTCTTGTCACAACACTATTCCCTGCAGTGGTAAAAACATGACAAATCTTGATATCAACATTTTGAAGCTAAAATGTATGATAAGTTCAAGAATATATTCTTTTGTTTGGGAATGAGCTACATGATTAGCTGGCATTATACCACTTTAGGCTATTCCAAAGAAGCCTCATAAAACAGATTAAAAGTTCATTCTGTAGAGTTTTGTAAATTTATTTATTTTTATGTTCTTTATTTGCATGTGTGATCCTTGGTTGGGCTGAAGATTTCTTTTTAATAATCAGAGTATTTTTATAGTACTTTGCCATACTTTTACTGGAGGGTATGTGTATTAGCAAGAGGAAGACTCTTACGCATGACATCTGCATTTAACAGCCATAAGCCTTGCAAGTAAAAAGCCCTGCAAAGATACAAAAATTTGGATCTGCATCCAATCCAGATCTGCGGTAATTAAATTTTATCTGATTCACGATCCACACCTGCACCCACACCAGCAGCTTCTATAGCAGCAGTTTTTAACCAGGCTTCCGCGGCCCCTTGGGGGAGCCACCAGCCAGCTTCAGGGGGGCTGCAGGGCCACGGCATCGGAGCCCGGTGTCCTGAGCCTCCGGCCAGGCCCCCAGGCTCTGGTTCTGCGGGTGGACCCCCTGAAACCATACCCCCCAGGAGGCTGCAGACTCCTGTTGAGAACTACTCTTCTAGATCCCTGTGCATATAAAAAATTTTTGATCCACATCCGCCATCTACAAAGATGGTAAGCAAAGAACCACATCTGCGGCTATAAAGTGAATATTTGCGGATATGCAGGGCTCTACTTGTTAGCCACTACCTGGCACTAGTTGCTGTATTTAATGTATTTTCTTTAACAATCTTTCACAATCAGGTATGAAACACCATGATGTAGTCCAATGTTGATTTTTCTGAATGTGCACTTTGAGGCTGATTGGAATAAAATCCAAACTAAGTTTGGTCCGGTTGTTCGCAACTTTCACCTGTAACAATGCCTCAAACCCTTTCTTCACAGAAGTCATGAAGATTTTGGACAAGTCCAGATGCAGTGGACCTGCCAAACATTATCTTTTTAAGATTTATTTTTACGTTTTAATCTACCAGTCGATGGTCTGACGCGCAGTCTGCACTCGGGAAAATATTTGTCCATTGGATGCTTGAACTCCAGCATACAAGTATCTTGTTTATGTAATGTTTGCCATGCCATCAGGTGATATCCATGTATATATACACATCTAGGATGTTGGGTGAGGATGATATTTGTAATGACCAGACAATGAGAGCAGCAGAAAGTGACTAAATTACTTCCTCTTTCAGTTTGTAAACCCAGATAATTGAGTCCCATTACTTCTTTATGAGCACTTATAGCTCCAACTTTCACCCTTGTTACTGGAGACCTGAATGTGATGTCTTTGCTTGGTAGTTTAATGAGCATCTCTTCAAACTGTTCATAGGACTTAATCGTGTTGTTGTCAGCTGCTGTTGTAGAGCACAAACCTATGTAATCGATATAGTGACTAGCTTCACTTAAAGGTGAATTTTAATTGTTCTGTCACTGATTGGATTATATCCAAGCATATACTTTGATGTCTCCTTGGACAAGATAAATGCAACCCCCTTTTCTCAGAACCTGAGTGGTACACCATATACCCATCCATTATCATAAAGTGACTGCTACTGTTCTATCCCAGCTCTGAGATTCCACATATATCTATCCTGCTCAGTATTGTGACCAAAGAATTGGAAAGATGCTTCACTTCAGTCTATGGGTTGAAGTAGCAGCTATACCTCTCCTTGCCAATTTGTCTCAGAGGTCTCTGGTCTGACTCCAATGCCACATTCATACTGGCCTATGGAGAGCTGGCGTAGAGACTCAACACATGAAGCTAGAGGTCCCATTACAATTGTGATCAGTGCACAGAGCCCTATCGAGAGACTAAGGCTAGGTCTACACTACCCGCCTGAATCGGCGGGTAGAAATCGACCTCTCGGGGATCGATTTATCGCGTCCCGTCGGGACGCGACAATCGATCCCCAAATCGACGCTCTTACTCCACCAGCGGAGGTGGGAGTAAGCGCCGTCGACAGAAAGCCGCAGAAGTCGATTTTGCCGCCATCCTCACAGCGGGGTAAATCGGCTGCGATACGTCGAATTCAGCTACGCTATTCACGTAGCTGAATTTGCGTATCTTAAATCGACTCCCCCCTGTAGTGTAGATGTACCCTCATTGTTGCAGAGGACTTTGTTTTACCCTATAGGAACAAACCTATGTGAAGTGAACAGGGTTTTTTTGCAACAGGTTATTGGTTTTAAAATATTTTTATGATATATTGGAACTGGTCAAAAGTTTTCTGCAAAACATCTTTATTTTCCCAATGAAAATCAGATTTTTAACTAAACTTATATTTTCATGGAAAGTGCCTGCTTTCCTCAAACACGATAATTAGATATTTGTTTTAAACTAACTCTTTTGGGCAGATTGTGGGGATTTTTTGGCTGCAGAAAACCGTTAAATTTTCATTTTTGCGATGAAAAGTCAAAATTTTCAGGAGAACATTCCCACCCCTCCATTTTCCTATCGTTTGTAATAAAGACACAGATATAACATAAGGAGACAATTAAAATGGAGCAGTTCTAAGTACCAACACACAAGCCTCTAAATGGTAGTCAAAGAAAACAGCTCCACTAAGTCAGCCAGCGGAGGGAATATTTACATCTGGGTAGATCTCACATACTACACAGGAGAACAGTTTGGCATATACACGAGCTGGTTCAACACATTCTCCCCTAATTTACATTCTTGAGCTTGATGAGTTAATGGGAGAGTACACAGGTTTTAAAATGTATTTCTGTGCAGCAAGTAAAACATTTTATTGCACATGGCCTGTATCCACACAACTACATCAAGAGGAAGCCTAGCAATCTTTTTCAAACTCGGGGGGAGGGGGAGTGGAGGGGAGGAGAGGGAAGTCACAGCCAAGTGAAAGATGATAAAGGTGAAACTCCAGTATAGGGGCTGCGAACATCACACATTAAACTGAACACACATATATTAGCAATTATTAACTCCCTTACCTGCAAAATATCATAGAATGCTGCAGCACTGATGCATTGCTGATTTCGCTTCAGCAATTGCCCTTCAATTACTTCCAGTGGTTACCAGCCTCTCATAAGTAACATTGATTCAGCACACCAGAATCAACCCTTCTTATCAGTCTGGAAGGCTGAGAAATCCAGAGTGGCAGCAGGAGCTGTGTATTTAGCAAAGAGGTTATATCAGAGGGAGAGAAATCAGCTTGAAAATGTGCAACTCCAAGATATTTTTGCAGTTTATCAATGAAACCTCTGCAGAAAATCCCACCCAGTAAACTACATATATATATCTATATATAGATATATATATATTTTTTTTGGTTAGATAGCAGAAGAGGAGTGAGATACAAAAGTGAGATGGAAAACGAAAGAGTGAATTTTCTCTCTTTTAGTATACATTTAATTTCCTCCACTCGCACCATTTAATTGTTATTGTGAGGTTTGGTGGTAGGTGGGGAGAGGGACATTTTTAGTTCAGATGTTATATGAAGCATTCAGAGTCTCAAAGTACATATATTAGAACAACCAGCTTCATCAGTTTTATTTTTCAGTGCATTAAAACTACTGAGACAGCAACAGAACAGTGATTAGACTAACCAGACTTTAAATCTAGGAGTCCCTGCACTCCCAGATAAGTAAAAAATGCAGTATGTAGAAAGGTTTGTGGAAGCAATCAAGTGGTGGAAGGTGTATAAATTATATAATACCACATCTATTGCTATGTGTTGGCAAACAATGAGGAAAAGTTAGGGGGCATACCATCACACCCACTATTATTGGAACCCAAAGAGCAATACCATCTTACTATTACTTCTTACCTGCAGTTCCTTTACCACTTCTGTCTGCTTTCCTACTGCTGGTTTCTCTCTCTGGTCTCTGGGATTCAGGGTTGCATGTTGTCAGTTAGGCTCATTAAGATATCCTATTACACCCTAGCTGCCTGATTGCAGGCAGAGATGCAGGTGAGGGTTCCTGTCTGAAGTCTCTGCCCAGACTGCAAAAGGATCTTGATGTATAAGGTAGAATGTTTACTCCTTAGCTGCTATGCATGATGTTGAATTCACAAACCTTGGTTTTGGGGGAAAATATCATGCCACAGTTATATATTCCCTCTCTTGTTTCCCTTCATTCCTTCTCCCTCCCCCCCAAATACTCAATTAAATGCTCTTTGTGGCATTGACAGCATCCACACTTAGCAAACAAATGAAATAAACAATAATCATTAATAATAATAAACTGGATGCGCCACCCTACGTGCTTCCTTTCCTTTCCTTTCCTTTCCTTCCAATCCTTTCAAACCCAACCAGGCCTGCATTTGCTCAGCTGTAATGTGCTGTGCATTAATCTAATTATACGATACAATTGACAGTAGTCAGGCTTCATCCAAACCACAGTTTACTTTAAAATCAATATAAATCAGAAACAGCAGCAAGCTTCCTGCATGAAACAAAAAACAGGGCTAACATCATTCACGTTACAATTGGTAGAAGCACTTTATAAAAAATAAATGGAAAGAACACTAAAACACATATTTAGATGGACAGCAATTTTGTCATCCATCAGAAACAGTGTACTGAGTCTGTGGGACAGTATCATTAAATGTTAAAGAAGAGAATTTCAACCCCCCAGGTTTCCAATAACATGGAAGCTTCTGAATGGATGAGATCTGAAAAGACATAGCATGAATGACAGCCTCAAGAATCCCAGCTCTTAATCATTTTGCACCTTTGTCATTTTTTTCTTGCTCAATGGAAAATTCACAATGTCAAACAGAATGAACACATAAGACATGATTAGACAAAATGACTGTGCTTAAACTGCAGAAATAGACATGTTTTGAATTCTAATTTTTCCCTAGGTTTGAAGTAGAATCCTTCTGTATTATCTGCAAGTGAAAATTACTCTAATTTTAAATAAGTGGAGTTTGTCAGCTTTGCAATGTTCAGATCTGCTGCTTCTAGACTCTAGTGAAGTTTTCTTAATTTATAATTATATTATTATTTCATTATTATTGTGACATTTAATGACCAGATATGTTGTAAGCAAATAAAACAATGGAAATATGACTAAAGGTTAAGCAGAATGCTGCTAATTAAAAACAAATGGAACTTGCTACTTCATATACATATAAAGCCTCATCCAACTCCTCCTGAAAAAAAAAATGCTAAGATTTTTCAAAGGAAATTCAATGGGATGCTTAGAAAACTTTAGCCTAAAGATTTTCCATTGACTTTAATGGGAACTGGATCAAGCCTCTATAGGTACCTGTATAACACATTGGTCAGATCCAGACTTCCCCATACTTTGGGGTGTTCTGATCTAAGGTTTTGGTTGGCCTATTATAGAAACTGAAAATTTTGACTCCAGATTTGGATCTGAACTTTGCCAAATGTGTGAGTTTGGTATAGGTGCATTTCTTTGTTTTGGATAGGGAACACCTACCCAAAAGCCTACTGGCAGAGGATCTTTATAACAAGAGGGGGGGGAGGGGAAGAACATGGCTAGACCAATGGTTTAGTAGCTCATTTCACTGCCATGTAGGAAAAAAATGGAGGAGTTATTTCCTAGCATTGAGGAGTGGGTGGAGACATGTGAGTGTATGTTTTGGAGGAAGTATGTGGTCAAACTAGAAGTCTGGGACTTAAGAGATATAGGTTCAATTCCTGACTCTTGTAGACTCCCCATATGACCTGTACAAATGACTCTGCCGTTTTTTTGCCTTTCCCATGTAAGCTCTTTAGGGCAGGGAGGAAATGTAGAGAAGAGTTGTAGAAAAACATTTCAGATTATGTTATTGGATGCTCCCTCTGTTACAGGCCTTCACAATTATTTTGATTTCAAGGTTTTTCTATAAAAACCTACTCTTTCCTATCTATCTATCTATATCTATATCCCCTAGTATTCAGAAAGAAGGGTTTTGACTATTTCCTGAATGCATATTGTAGCAAGAGAGCTTAACCAAAAATACTTAAGCAACTCAGTCTGACTGTGGAATAATTATTAACACTTTAAATGGCTGGTAAATGTTCATCGATTCATTGAATATGCTCATGATGGAGAGATGCAATATTAATCAGAACAAATGGTACAAATGAGAATGTTTCTAGCGTCCTCTTTTACTCCATCCATACTGGTAGTATTCTTATTGTTACAACACATCCCTGTCCTTTAGACTACAAACTCTGATGGCTGAATCCTTCTACAGATGTTTGGCACTCACTGTTTAGTGTGACAGGCTAGCTGGAACAGTGGCAGCTCAAAAGAAAAAAAAATGCTCAGATAGTTTTAGGCAAAACGTTTCAAAACTGAGTGCCTAAAACTAGACTCCTCAATCCACATTTAGATATCTTAAAAGAAGTGACCTGATTTTTTAAAAGCACTGCACTCCTGAAGCTCTTACTCATTTTAATGAGATTTGTGGCCACCCAACTCTGCTGAAAATCAGGCCTCTTTTAGTTAGTTGTCAAAATATGGATTTAAAAGCCTAACTTTAGGTTCCCACGCTTGACTTTTTTGGCCTTATTCGATGAAGAAGTTCACAAATCTGAGAACCAACAAAGACACCTTCATTTATCTTAGCTTCATTTAACCTTGGAAATTTTCCATGGAGGTACTTGAAAGCTGCTTGTGTTTTGTCAATGGCCTTCACAAAGTTCTTCATCAGACCCAGCTTGATGTGTAAGGGTGGTAACAAAATCTTCCTTGATTCAACAAGTGGTGGATGCTGAACACTTTTCCTCCCAGGCTCCAATGACTGTAGGAGTGGCCAATCTTTCTTGATGTAGTGGGAATCTCTTGCACGACTATCCCATTCGCACAGAAAACAGCAGTACTTTGTGTATCCAGTCCGCAGACCAAGAAAGAGAGCCACAACGTTCAAATCACCACAACGCTGCCGCTGATGTTGGTCATAGTTTATGCACCTCAAAAGTTGTTTCATGTTGTCA